TATATTACGTAATTATAATCGTCTCTTCCCTTTTGTTGCCATAGAAGCATCTCAAATAAATCTTAACATACTCTAAAAAACTCGACAAAGATCTATAGAGAGAAACAAACAATTACTTGATTTAATACGACATAAAATGATTTTATAGAAAAGTTACCACTGAACACCAATTTACAATAATGGGCAAGAAAAACGTACTCCGTGCACTAGAGCTAACACGTTTATAGAAGAAAATTTGCAAAATATTTTCCTTGAAGAACCCTCGAAAACTAAAAAAATATTGAAAGAGAAGTGCTCGAACATATAGTTTCTAGTGATGTCACCACAAAAAACCTTAGGCTTAATGGGGAAAAACGTCATATTCCCTATAAATAATAATAAATAAATAAAATAAAATAATTCATTTTTCTTCACAAAACTTAAATTAATTAGATAGTTGACTGGGGTCTCCATTTAAGCAAGTAATGCTTGTGTTTGGAAACGCCGCTCTTCTTTATCTAAACATACATTTTAATTCTAAAAACCAAAAATGACAAACCAGTTACTCTATTTTAACAAACCAAAAATAACAAAAACTAATTTATTCTATTTTTATAACCAAAAATTAAAAAAAGTACAAAAGTATATGTGTGTATGTATGCAAGTGTGTGTGTGTGTGTGTGTGTGTGTGTGTGTGTGTGTGTGTGTGTGTGTGTGTGTTAGTGTGTGTGTTTGAGTGTGTGTGTGTTTGTGTGAGTGTATGTGTATGTACGTGTGTGCACGTGCGTGTGAATGTGTGTGTGTGTGAGTGTAGAGAAAGTATTATTATGTTATATACTTAGAGTATTAGTTTAATACTCTAAGGTTATATATCGTAAAGAACAGTAAATTATGAAATGCGTTCCATTAGAAATTTAGTTTCGTCATATGTTTTCGACTGCACCCATTTTAGTATAAGGTTTTTACACTCCTTGTACGTTTTGTCATATATGTTTAATTCTCTATTTATTCAATTATATAGGAATGTAGAACAGGAGCTAAATTGCCTACTAGCAAACACTGTTTTGGAACCAGAAGACACAGCCACAACATCTTTTCGCCGCTTTTCCAAGATGCATGGGTCAAAGGGCACGGATTTGTGTGCTTTGAGCGTTGTCATAGTAACGTATAATTGTCTAACTGAGAATAGACCACTTATTTGATACAGTATTTCAGTGGGAAAACGTCTTTTTTTTAAATACATGACCTTAAGAAGGATTCGCTGAGCTCTTTCCAAGTTAAGAAATTGGGTCTTTGTAGCTCCACCCCACACCGGAATGCAATAAGTTATGATAGATTGTGCAAGGGATATGTATATTTGGTTTAGAAGATATCTGGGAGAGTCCGACTGTTTAGTATTATCTGGTATTACGTGTCTTAGGGTTTTGAATATCCAAATCAATTTTCGAGTCCTACTGATGACATGCTCCAGGTGTGGGTACCACGATAGCCTCTGATCTACAATGACGCCGAGATATTTAGTGTGAGAGACTTTTTCAATTGATGGGCAGTCACAAGCTTTGTTTTTAGCATCCTCATTACATGCAAGAATTTTAAGGCAAAAGTCAGTCTGTGGTTGCGAGTTGTTAGTTAGTAATGCTAAAGCAAATAAAATTTGTCTTAGCTGTATTTAGAGTGAGAAGATTTTGTTGCAACCACAGAGCGACTCTAGCTAGACCACTTTCAGCACTAGTCTTGACAACCTCCCAAGATTCACCAGCAAAAACCACAGCCGTGTCATTGGCGTACGACAGGATTTTAGCATTTGGTATGGTCATACTGCATAGGTCGTTGATATAAACTAAAAATAAGGTTGGACCCAGAACGCTACCCTGTGGTACGCCATATGATGATACTCCCGCATCCCCACTCGTGAACCCAGGAAGCTTTACCTTTTGTTTTCTCTCTGACAGGTAGCTTTCGAAAGGAGCAAGCGGGGTTCCTCTTATTCCAACTTTTTCAAGCTTGTGCACAAGCATAGTGACAGAGATGGTATCGAATGCTTTCTTCAGATCAAGGAAAATTGACAAACATTTTTTACTGTGGTCGAGTGGTTCTGTTACAAATGTCTCCGCCCTTGTGCACAGGCGTAATAATAGACTGCTTTAAGGACGGCCACATACATACGGAATTCCGTTTCGAGATTCCGTTTCGATATTCCGATTCGGAATCCCGAACGCAGCTAGTCCATATAAAATCTATGACCCGCCACACACGTACGGTAGTTTTCCGTTCGATATTTTGCGGGCAAAACGGGATTCTGTTTGTGTGTGGCCGACCGTTCGAAATTCCGAAACGGAATCTCGAAACGGAATTCCGTATGTATGTGGCGGGCCTAAGGCCGGCGTACGTGTCGTTATGTCTCAGAACATTAAAGCATAGTTCTTGTTCTGAAAGGTATGCCGTATGTAGTTCTCTTAAAATTACTCCGAAAGAGTATGTAATCTGTAATCGCTACGTTATAAATTATTTAACTCTATATTAGTTCGAGAATCGAGATCAGTAAGTTCCTATATTCACAGGATTATTATTAGAACAAGAAAATTCATGGAATGATTATTACAAAGTTCTACTGATTCTATGCCCATACTATTATATACTTATGTAAGTTTTGGCGGTAACTTTACAGAAAAGCGGATCGCTGCTTCTGTTTTATCTTTTAACCATTAGTCGAAACTATAAATTAAGTGATTCATTTGTGATATTATCTTAGGTCTACGTGTAGAGCCACGCTGCAGCTATAATAAGGTTGTAGCATGAATGGGTCAACTCGACAGGAAAGGACCATACTCTCACAGAATACCAGACTGAAATAATAGCTTAATGCTGCTGTGTTTCGTATGGTGAGTTCACAGAAGCGGAGACCCATTTTAGTGGAAACGAGGCAGAGGAGGTTTTGATTCATAAACAAGGATAGATGTAGATTGTTGATGTATATGAGCAACAACATCCGCTTACCATCGGGTGGAATGTGTGCTCGTTTGTCACCCATTTTCTATTAAAAAAGACATCCACTAAGGGACCTAAAGATATTATCTTCATCTACTTTCCACTTGGTTAAGCTATCTTCAATATCTCCCTCTTCAAAGTACGTCGCAATATGACGCATCAGTATATTATTTTTTGTAGATTTTTTGTGGACAAAATACAATCAGACTAGGCTGTATGGTTTAAGATCTTTATCAGTGGTAGTAGTTAATTCCTTGTTTAATGTTTATTTAGTGTAATACAGTGTAATAGTCAGGCTGGTGCAACTTCCATAGTAAAAATTATATGTACTACAGGGGTCAAATTTTAATGACGGTTACTCTTCTTTATGCTTTTCGTGATATGTCTATTAACGACATTGTCAAATGAAATAGGTTCAAATGTCAAATCAAACAATTATATTTGTATATATTTTATTAATTAAGATTGCTTTTAATTTTGCTATAGGAGCCGTTGTTCATTTACAGAATTGTTAAGAAATTAAATATGCGTTATTAAACTTTCCAATTAAATGGTGCAAGAAGCGGAAAAAATGATAACAAGAAAAGGCTATTCGTAACAATATTTCCCTTAGATGATGAAAGGTATGTGGTGATTTCAACTTTAATAGTAATATGATATTCAACACGAGTATATTTTTGGACTAGCCATCTATGTAGGACATGTTTTTATAGTGCTCGATTGTGTGCACAAAAACAAACACACTATTTCCTAAATCTGATAGTTCGATGGTTTAGCAATCCGAAACGAACTATACTTAGAAACTACAAGTCAATTCTGACTGCTAACATTCTATTTGTTCAATAATAATGTGATTTTATTTATATTATTTTTTCAGATGCAAGCAATGGGTGAAATAGCTGGCACATGCACCAATTGAAAAGATTCACATGTTAAGACATATTTGTGACAAACATTGCATATGAACCGAACTAAAACGAACTGTTATTTCTTTAGTGGACTTACTTTAAACTTCCACAATTTATGTGTATGTTAATTAGGTTTCATTTACATGTAGCAAAAGATAATATCCCTCTAAAGTCTAAAGTTTTGGCAAGAATTAGATTATATAACTAAATCATTATTTTATTCATCAATAAACATTAGCTATAATGAGCACTTATTTTGAAAGCGACAATTAGTAAACGATCTCTGCAAATAGTATGTACATAGGTGCCTCTGTGAAAAAACCTAGCGATTTGTACATAGTATTTGTTACACATAAAAGCAATTTAATCCAATCAGTATTAAAAACCCAATATTTTTACCCTTAAAAAAACTAACGTTTAAAACAAGCATCCAGACGCAGACTGTTTATTTTACAGCATAGCAACAATTGTTCAGTGCGGGAAGGAAGCCTCGGTGCTGCAATGCCGCAGCCAAACGCTTAGCCACTGCGCTACGGAGTCGTCATTTATTTTTTACTTAATTAATTACTAGTATAAAAGTGCGTTTTTTATTTTATATTTTATTTATACATACTATTGTACCTAATTGTAGATATATAAATACAAATAGCTGTGCGTAAAATACATTGATTTCTTATCCTCATCGGCATTTTTACTCAATCCACACGTTTATTTCTCATAAATAATTCACTTTTCTTATGTAAAAATATCGATAAACAATATATCGATAAAGGTTTTATCGATAAAATTATTCGAGGATAGACATTAACAGCACTATTGTAATTCGTCAATGTTGTCAGCACTGCTTCTCAAAACTAAATGTCATATCTTGATGTTGGTAGAGTAACTTGGCGTAATTTCATGCAATTATTTTTACTATGGAAGTCCCGCCTCTTAAACGTAGTGATTATATTCTCTTTGGTAATAGTGTTCTGTGATATTCCTAAGGGTATTAGTGTTCTGTGGTGATATTTATCTACGACTCAATTTATGTTTATGGTATTAATAATAGAAGTTAACAAGTTAATAAACTTGTCCTAAATCTAAATTAATATTTTACTTTTTTTAGAGAAGCATTTTTGCATTATGCAATCTGTTCCCAGATCATTACCAAATATTTTAGTTACAGGTTAGTTTTAGCATTATTTCACATGATTTATGACTATATAAATCAATTACCTCTCCCTGTAACATTTTCAGGAACTCCTGGTGTGGGTAAGTCTACAATATGTAAAATGTTATCTGAGAGAACTAAGTTCACATGGAGGGAAGTTTCAAAATTAGCAGAAGAATACAATTGTTTAGATGAATATGACCCAGAATACCAATGCCCGTTCTTAAATGAAGATAAGGTGATTGATTCCAACATGTCTTAAATTAATTGAATTTTATATTACGCATACATAAAAGTAAGTTATAATACCTCAAATAATCAGCCAATACGTACTATGAAATTCACTTCATTATTTTGCAATTTATTTAAAATATATTTTATTTATTTTATTTATCTTCACGGACAATCCCTGACGGGGTAGCCAGAGAGAACAGATCGCCAAGTGTCACGATCCTTACATACCTCTTTCGCTTCTTTCAGATTCATTATCTTCTTGATACATGCACGTCTAGGTAGTAGAGTACTCACTCTTGACCTTCCCCTCTTCGAGCAATTTGCTCACATGGTCTTCGAAAGTTAGTCTCGGTCTACCTCGACACCTTTTAATATTAACTTTCGCGCTATATATTTTCTTCACCATTCGGTCTTCACTCATTCGCTCAACATGCCCAAACCATCGAAGCACGCCCTTATCAATTTTTGTGATAATGTCATCTTTCAAACCTGCCATATTGCGAATCTGTTTGTTTCGCTTTCGGTCGACCATGGTAACGCTGCACATTTTACGAAGAGATTGCATCTCCACTGCATTCAACTTGCTTTTATGCTTCTTCTGGCATACCTAGGTTTCGCTGCCATATAACAAAGTCGGTACCAACACTGCATTAAGTATTGCAAGGCGTGCACTTTTCACTACGCCTTGCCTTTTGACTAACGCAGTCAGTGCACCATTGACTTTGTTCCCGGCAGCGACACACCTGTTCACATCTAAATCACATCTTCCATCCCTGCATTATCCCCGATTTAGCAACCTGGGTTCGATCCCCGCAGTCGTCAATGAAATTGTTAATTGCAATTTTAAGTGATGATTTACCACATTCACGGCGGTGAAGGAAAACATTGTGAGGAAACCTACATGTCTGAGAAATAAGAAAAAATCTGTCAGTCGTAGGACTACACATCAGAAGAGAAAGTTTTTTAGGAAGTTTTTGTTATATTTTTATAAAATTTAATAAATTAGATTTTCAAATTTAATTACATCAATTTTATGTATCTGAGCATGACGGTCACATGAGCTCAGTGCTTTTTCCCCATCCCAAAAGAGCCTGATGTGTGAAAGAAACTTAAAAAAATATGTTGAAGACATGAAGTTCATCAACATTGATAGCACGGCAGACTTTTCTTTGCCTCTCAGAAATGAGAGGATGCCTGTGCACAGCAATGAAACATAGAGGCTGTAACTTTTTGTTTAAAATATGGTATTAGCAGTTTTATTAAGGACTAGCTGTTCCCTGCGACTTCGTCTGCGTGGAATTTATTACAATTGGATTGGTTTTAATTGTTTTGCATGGAACCTTCAATCCTTTTCTAAAATAAAAGTAGTCTAAGTTACTCCTTGCAACATCATCTATCTGCCGGTGAACGTCCTGTCATAATAGGTCTAGCAATATTAGGGATTAGCCAAAGAAACAGAAATTTTATTTAAAAACATACTCAGATGCATTTAGTAAATAGCTGTTATTTTGACATAACAAACAGACACTTAATTTTTTTTATTTGTATAGATTGTATAATATAATTAAATATTTGGTATTAACAAAACTGCTTGAGTTACAACTTTAGTCAGACACATAATTTTAGCCCTACTTATCTTTTCGACAAATTTATTAAAACTGGCTTATTCTGTCAGTAGGCCAAATGTGTGGCCCAAGGTGCTTTTTTGGCTGATGCTGAAGCATTGGTCCGACTTTATTAATAAGCGACGAGATTATAACTGGTGTTATGATTTACATTTTTGTTATCTTGATTAAATTTAAATAAAAAAATTCTCAAGTGTTTTCTTAAAAGTGTAAGACTTTATTTTAGTATTTATTCTTGGTCTATTATTAAACATTAATTTCATGTTTTACTTTAGCTTTTAGATGTAATGGAAGGCATGATGTTAAAAGGAGGAAACATTGTTGACTATCATGGCAGTGAATTTTTTCCTGAACGATGGTTTGATGGTGTATTTGTGATCAGAACCACTAACACTACATTATATGACAGACTTAAAGAAAGGTACTATTTTTACAAACTTTACTTTTTTCTATACACAGTGTGACCTATGGTGTTGTTAGGGTTTCGAATGACTAACACATCTAGGAAAGCTAAAGAATTATTTGCTTCTAACTCCATAGTAAATTGAATTTTAGAATTTATGGAATTAAGATGTTCCAAAAATGCAGTTACTTTGTCTGATGGTAAAATTCTTCCGGGCTTAGCTTTCGCATATTTTTGAGAAAAAAAATATTGAAAATCAACTATTTTTGCAATATTTATGTCAATTGCTACAGTAAAACTGACGCCATTTTGTATTGTCGTTGTCAGTACTCAGTAGGGATGTCGATTCTTTCCGAAAAAGTTCGATTTTTTTAAATCTATTCGAATTGTAAGCTGATGTATCGATTCACAAAAAATCTATTTCTTTTATGATATTATCATAAAAAATAGGGGGACTGATTCAGAAGAATTTCTGTATCTATTTTGAAATATCAATCCCCAACTCGACGGACGTCAATGGAAAGTCGTACCCGGTTTTTTTATATTCAGTGTGAAAACTAATACGATTTAACATGCATTGGTACATTTGACATTATTTTCGTCTTATCCATGTTTTTCATGAGACTATCGCTTAGAGGCACTCTATCAGTAGTATCTCTATAGTAGTATCTAACAGTCGCAAGGCATTTAATGAGTGGGCGACAGTAGGAATACATAAAAACAGATGAAGGTTATATGACCTTTACCATAAAAGATCGTATAATCTTTCCGATACTTTTAAAGAATATGTAAAAAATTATTCTAAAATGTTTAAAAGAGTTTGCTCCACAGCCAAATCATTACATATTATGATATTAGTAACAAAATTAGTGTGCTAAGAATAAATTTAAAATGACGTGGAGTATAATTAACAGCGAAACCGGTAAAGAGAAACCTCGTAACTCAAACTATCAATTAAAAGTTAATAATGAATTGACTAAATCAAATCAAGAAGTTGCAGCGGTGTTTGAGAAATATTTCACTGATGTTCCTATCTTGACAACAGAGTCATTGAATACTTCTCCAACTGTCGCCGAGTCATTACTTAAACAGAATGTTAATACCTGTTTAAAAGAATTTAGATTTGAAAATTAGTTCTGCGGCATATGCTGTAAGAAAGATTAGAAGTCTCACAGATGTTGAGACAGCTAGGTTAGTGTATTTTAGTTACTTTCATAGCGTAATGTCTTATGGAATTTTGCTATGGGGTAATGCGACTGATATTGAAGCTATATTTGTTTTACAAAAGAGAGCCGTACGGGTGATTTATAATCTAAATTGTAAAGAGTCCCTCAGACTCGCTCTTGGATCGTTACTCACACTTACTTGTGGCTCCAACGATGATTTGTACAGCTGCCCATAGAACCTCTCAATCTCACTCAAAAACTCAGGTGTCCCGGAAACGACAGTATTATTTATTATTAGTTCTGCAGCATATGCTGTAAGAAAGATTAGAAGTCTCACAGATGTTGAGACAGCTAGGTTAGTGTATTTTAGTTACTTTCATAGCGTAATGTCTTATGGAATTTTGCTATGGGGTAATGCGACTGATATTGAAGCTATATTTATTTTGCAAAAGAGAGCCGTATGGGTGATTTATAATCTAAATTGTAAAGAGTCCCTCAGAGAAAAAATTAAAGAAATAATTATATTTAACTTTGGCCACGCAATATATTTATGAAAATGTAATGTATGTACATAAAAACATAAATAGCTTTAATAAGAATAAGGATGCTCATACCTTAAACACTAGGAACAAACATAAGCTTGTAATGCCAGTTACTAGACTCCACAGAATTAGTAATTCATTTATGGGGCAATGTATACGCTTTTACAACAAAATCCCAGAACATGTTCAAAGTTTGTCAATAAACAAGTTTAAAAGTTTTATTAAAGAAAAACTTTACAAAAAGGGTTATTATAATATCAAGGAATACATGAATGAAAATAACCCCTGGGTATAAGGTGATCGCCACCATGCTGGTTCTATGAAAATTCTTTAAAATTGTATAAGCAAAATTATTGTTAAGTGAAATTATGTTTAATAAAAAGTCCTGCTGGGTTTCTTGCTGGTTCTTCCCAGGACAGAGGTATTTTCCGAACCAATGGTAAATAAAATAATGACTTTCAATAAGTATTATGTAATAATCCATATCGAATAAAAATCGTTCTATTCTATTCTATTCTATCATTGAGTATGACGCCAAACTTGTTACATATATTCCATAAAAAATATGTATTATATTTGCCATTGATATTTCTGAATCCTTTTAGTCCAGTAGGTTGAAAATGTCTCCCATTGCAGTGATGTTCTCTTGAGGATATAACATCTCCCTGTCTTACTCTTACACCTTTATCGATTGCCTCATTGATTTGGTGGCTGTCAAGACAATTGCTTATCATGAGGTCCTGGGTTTGAATCCCGGGTCGGGCCAACAGAATCGTTTATGAGTTTTTTTGTCAAGAAATTCTCAGTAGCAGTTCAGGTATGAAGTTGGCGGTGTTTAATCCTCATACATCTGAAAGAATGTCGAGCCAGTCCAGTGGGTGTCGTAAGAGGCTACAGGGGGGCAGTAACAGTGTTTTCCAAATAACAAGTAGAAAATAAAAAACTGGTTGCCAACCCGTTTGCCAAGCGTGGCAACTTTGGTTCTTTAACCTTTGGAATTTGGTGTAACTTTTTATTTATTTCAGAGGTTATTCAGGCAAGAAATTGGAAGATAACATACAATGTGAAATATTTGAGACACTATTAGAGGAGGCTCAGTCATCATACAAGCCGGAAATTGTGAAAGAACTACAAAACGACACACAAGAGCAACTTCTTACTAACATAGACACTATTGTGGAATGGATAGAAAGGTGGAAAGAAAGTAATTTATAATAAATATGATTATTATAAAACTTGTTTTTTTTTTTACTTATTTATCATATAGATATGGACAGGACCCATCCTGTTCATATTACTGATACTTGCATTTCCCAAAAAAATAATCCTAAACAAAATTCGTATCTTAAATATAACTAATATTAATACCATCGCCTGATTTGTTTCATTATAATGTCAAATCCTAAAAGTGAATTCTAGAACGGTGGATGGGTATATAATTTTAAAATTATTTTTATTAAAAAAAAGTTACCTCCACACTAGGATTTTCTCATGTATCGTGGAAGCACTTTACAAACATATTTTTTTATATCTAGAATAAGGGTGACAAACGAGCACACAGTCCACCTGATGGTAACTGGATGCTGAGGCTTATAGACTTCTACGTTTATCCTCGATCAAGATACAAAATGCAGACGCGTTGTCACCCCTGAGGATTAAGATAGAATTCCCTCGTTTCCCGCCGAGCCTCAGCCAAACGCTTACCCACTGCGCTACGGAGAATAGTGTTTGTGACATATTTGCGCATTAAATGCTACTTTCCGTCTATTATTTTTTTTTATTTTGTTTTATAAGATAAGGCTGACAAACGAGCACACAGTCCACCTGATGGTAAGTGGTTGCTGCGGCCCATAGACATCTATCCTCGATTACAAATTAAAACGCAGATGCGTTGTCACCCGTGAGGACTAAAATGGAATGCCTCTTTTCTAGTAAAAAGGGTCTCCGTTTCTCTACACTCACCATACGAAACACAGCAGCGTTAAGCTGCTATTTTTCGCTGGTATTCTGTTAGAATGTGGCCCTACCTCGGTCTAGCCGACCCATTCTTGCTACAACTATAATATAGCTGCAGCATGGCTCTACCACGTTAAAAATTATATTACACAAGAAGAAACATCCAGATCTGGAACAATTGTTTGTAGGCCATACAAATATTTGTTCCTTGCGAGATTCGAGCCTACAGCCTACAGCCCTGCAACTCAGTGCTAAGCCATGGCGCACCACGGAGCTGACGGACTGTGTAAAAAATATAGTGTTGGGAAGAAGGTTTAAAAAATTTAAAAGAACATACGAACAAATGAAGGCAGAACTGTAATCTCCCATCCGTTCTAGCAGTATAAAGTATTGCCTAGGCGATTAGGATGTCTGCGCCCCCTTTTCCCTAAAGAGGGTCGCTTCTGATTCGGCAGAAAGGTCATACTAGTGTTGCCCAAATGCAAGAACAAGACGAGACTTAGCAAGTCTTGGTCTTGGTCTTGCGCCAATACACCTGGTCTTGGTATTGGGCTCCCAGTCTTGGTCTTGGTCTTGGTCTTGCAGCAAGTCTCGCAAGTCTCGCAATGACCTATTAGCCTATTACTATTTATTAAACGTTACTTTAGATCTTAGAACAACTTAACAGAGTAGGTACATATTGAGCTTGAATTAACATAGCCATAGTAAAGATCAACCATATTAATAAATGTCTAAACATTTAATGAGAAATTCGAAAAATCAACTGACACCGGGTGGGGTTTGAACCCACGACCTAAGCCATCCGTGCCGATGCTCTAACCAACTGAGCTTATCTACCGTGTCCCACGGCCTCGGGCGTCAGTTTCTTAATAAACGTTTACATTTAATAAGCTTACATGTGCTAAAACATGGTTAAACATACATATAAAAACAAATTAATGGCAATAACTACACTATATTTTAAATAACATTATCTCTCTAGAAAGAGATTGATGGACCCTCACCATATATGAAATGGAATAAAAGAGTTATACAATATACCATTTATTTAAATAAAAAATAAAATACGATGCAAATTAAATTACTGCACAGTATGTACACAACAGCTTTGACATTACTGTTAGGTACTTTATATTTATTCTTTTGACAAAGCATTAATACAAAGTAACCATCTGGCTGACTCATCACTTAACCTATTTCTATGTTTTCTAATTACTAATGATGCTTTAAAAAATAATCTCTCAGCAGGTACTGAAGTTGCAGGTATTAAAAGAAAATCACGGGCCATCTTCGATAAAATCGGATATTTTGTCTCATGCGTCCTCCAACAGTCTAAAATGTCTTCCGAGATGACGGCTCTGGGTTTACCTAGGTACCCCTCCAACTCCTTAATAACTAAGTCTTGAAGACAAGATCCAGATCCATTTTTACACATTTCAAGTGTTTTAAAAGAGCTATGGTGTCAACCATATTTATCAAATGTGTGACGACATATTCGAGCACTTTGTGTTTTAAAAACACACACTTGCAAAAGTCGAGATTTGCAGTGAACTTACTGAACATGTTTATCTTTTAGGTAATAATAATAACAATAATAGTAAATAATTATTATAAATCCATATAGTTAATTTTATAATAATTACTTACTAGAATAAATTATTATGATACCTACCTATTATCTAATTACAATATTTCTTGCGAGATCAGGATAATGTACTCGTGTCCATTCTGAGCACCCGGAAACTTATTTTATTCTTTGGAACATGTACTCTGTGGCGGCAATCAAACAGTGTCAAATGTAGTGCGTGTGGCGCAGCGGCGACGATTGTATGCGATATCAATAGTAGCCGCCGGCACGTGTATCTTGACCTTGTACTTTCGAATAGCTGCACAATTTCTTTGACAGGTCAGTATCCGACCTTTGATGACGCCGACAACAAGACGCCGCGCACCATCAAAGTGCCGATGGTCAAAACTAGGGATGCACTCTTTTTTCTTTTAATGGATATTTTCATTCGCTATGTATATTTATGGTATTGTTCGTAATGCGCATAAGTCAAATTTTCCAATTTTTTTTCATTATATTTTTTGCGTCTCATAGAGTCCCTAAGCGTATACCCGAACTCCTATACTCCCTGAAACGACACTTAGTCCTAACTGCAAGACGCAAGAGTCTCGCAAGCTAAGTCTTGTTCTTGCGCAAATCTTGCACGGTCAGTCTTGTTCTTGGTCTTGCTAAAAAGAGGCGGTCTTGTTCTTGGTCTTGCAAAAATGCAAGAACAAGACTGCAAGACTGCAAGACCAAGACCGATTTTGGGCAACACTAAGTCATACAGGCCAATGCCAGTCTCACAGGTGGTGTTTAGTGGATAGGCATTAGGTTTCTCAGTGAGCACAGAGTACCTATGTATAAACCGAAAGTGAGTCCCACATAACCACGGCAGCCGGCTGTCATTCAGCATGAGCTGAGCATTCACCACCTCCCTTCCCCGCTTCCCGGAGGGTAGCGCTTTTCATTGCTTCTGGGCGCAAAAAAAAAAAAATAGGTGGCATCAGTCGGTAATTCTACAAATCTCACAGTCGTTACTATGCCCGTTGAAGTATTCTACTAGTGTAAGCAAGGAAGTTCGTGTTGTGCTGAGAGGCTGCCCTGTGTTACATTGAGATGGGTAGTGATGCGCTTGGTTTGTATACTTTAATGTTACCACATAATTGGGTCCTGATAGTAAACAGGGTTTGTTACCGAGTAGTGTTTTTTATTTAAATAATTTTGTGGATGTGGAAAAATTTCTTATAATTGCTTTTACTGTTACTGACTATTTTGGTAACTTCTTCCGGTAGTTACGCTCAGTGCCTGATTTAGAGTTCCGATAGCCCTAGGCTAACCATGAATATGCCCTGCCCACCTGTCTGTTCTGACTGCGCGTGCTCAGCCCCCGAATATATTTTACTAATTATCCACCTCGCGGTTTCGCCCATTTTAAATCAAATTATCCTGTTAGTAAGTGTCGACCATCGACCATCATGCCAGCCTTTTTAAAGGAGTAAGCTCGTTTATTGAAGGTTTCTAAGTCGTATCGGTCCGGAAAAATCGTCGGTGGTAGATTATCCCACAAAGAAGTCTTGCGAAAAAGAAAACTTAGTATATCGCCCAGTCATGGTGGACCCGCCAAGCATCCGGATAATGTGAATGGTACCGTGGGTTTTGTCACGAACTATTTGTCTAAGTACTTCCCGTGGAAAATTCCTTAGAAAATGCAATGGGATGAAACACTTCTTCGCAGCGCCATTGAATCGAGTCCATCAGAAAGAATTATGTTGTCGACGATTCGAGCCACTCTTCACTTGAGCCTTAAAGTTGCAAACTGTGTGTTCGCATGAAATACTGTCCTGCTCTGCTTAGCACGCAAAGCTTTTTAGAGGCAAATTTAACCTTCTCTTCCAAGTGAGTGCGGAACTGTACGTCATTCGATATGTCAATGACGAGGATTCCGATACTGGCTAAGGCAGCATGCTGAGTGCCCTGAAATTGAGGAGACACTACAAAAGGGTTCTTTTTATCGGTAAACGCGCGAACCTGTATCTTCAGAAGTTTAAACCAGACTAGAGTCCTCCACAATCAGAGATTTTGTTTATTAAAAACTCTACTTCAGACATAAGTTTGGTTTGACGACGTGTCAAGAGAAATATACGCACGGCCGGTGTAATCAGTGCTACAACCAGTAACAGCAACATATAATTGATATGCCTACAAGTAGCAACATAGATAGCACGCAGACTAGAGACTGGTCTGAGAGGTCGCCTTTCTAGGGATCGTGTGCACTAAATCTCTCTTCCATAAGTTCGGAATTACGTCTAGGGAGTAGGAGACGCGTTAGAACCGGTGCTAACTTCAGAGCACCCATCTTCGTCCAGGCAGAGGAGGGAGTGCTTTGCACACTGAGCGCTCTGTGAACCGCAAATTTAGCATGGAGCAATCACTCCTCGGGATCGTCGGCGGTGTGTACCCCCCGTCATTGAGTCTAGTTTAACTCAAAGAGAGAACCTAAAAAATAAAATTTCTCCTTTGCGGCATGGGCCAGTGAGTCGTTTATCCAGTGCAGAGATAGAACAGATGGCTGATAGAAGTTACCTTGGAGAGCCTTGGCAAAACACCTTAATGTAATCAGAGAGAGAAGAGAGCTTGAACAGTTTAAAATCTTTGAATTACGTCCAGTAGTCAACGAGACGAAAGGTACCGAGTAATTAAATCTTATCTACCGACTTCAAAAAGGAGGACGGACTCAGTTCGACTATATGTTCTTTTTTTAAGTGTTACCTCATAACTTTTTCTGGGTGAACCGATTTCGATGAATCTTTTTATTTGAAATCTGGTGCTTCTCGTGTGGTCCCGTATAAATTTGATCAAGGTCTGACCAATAGTTTTTGAGTTACTCTTAATAATTTATATTGAAGTCGGTTGTACAATTTTTTTAATATTAAATTGTTTTTACAATCTGTTTGTTTTGAACCAAAAAAATAAATAAAGAGCAACAAGTAAAATACTTGCGGTACCTACGAGTACTCGATTATTTATTGAAAATATTATATCACCATTTTACACGTGGTAGAGCCATGCTGGAGCTATAGTAATTGTTTAGTTGTTGCATGAATGGGTCGGCTCGACCGGGGAAGGCCCACCGCTCTCACAGAATACCAGCGTAAAATAGCAGCTTAATGCTGCTGTGTTTCGTATGGTGAGTGTAGAGAACGGGAGACCCTCTTTACTGGAAGAGGCATTCAATGTTAGTCCTCATGGGTGACAACGCGTCTGCATTTTGATTCTTTATTGAGGACTAGCTGTCAAAAAGTATTACCGCAAGATATTGTAAAACACTTCAAAACCATTGATGTAAAGAAAACCGCAGATTTGTGGGGGATTTCGTTACAGTTATTGCGACCATAATAGATTTAATTGCACCTCATCTTGCTATTATTTTTAATACTTGTATCGATTCTGGTGTGTTTCCTGATTTAATGAAGTATAGTAAAGTAATACCTTTATTTAAATCTGGTAGTACATTGGACCCCGCTAATTTTAGACCTATTTCTAGTTTTACAAGGGGTCGCTCGAGGTCTGACGCCGGTGTTGAGCTTATGAAATATGTTTTTAATGCCTGGGAGAATTCACAAGATGCCTTATCTGTGACCTTTCCAAGGCTTTCGATTGTGTTCATCATGAGACATTAATCAGGAAACTACAACATTACGGTGTAAAAAATTTGGCGCTTAGACTTATTACTTCATATTTAAGTAACAGAACTCAAAAAGTCGTGATCAATGGTAAAGGTTCCTCCGGATCGGTAGTATCAATGGGCGTTCCTCAGGGCTCGATTCTTGGCCCATTCCTGTTTTTAATCTATATTAATGACTTACCTTATCTTGTAGGGGGCAATCACGATATAGTATTATTTGCTGACGATACCACTTTCATTTTTAAACTCAAACGGCAGTTAAGTAATTATGACGATGTAAATAATGCTCTATCGAAATTAGTACATTGGTTTAATGCCAACAATATGCTCTTAAACGGCAATAAGACAAAGTGTATTAAATTTACAATACCTAATGTAAAACATTCGAATACCAATGTGCTGTTAAATGGGGAGGAGTTGAGTCTTGTGGATACCACTGTTTTTCTCGGTATTACTATTGACGCGAAACTTTAATGGGCCCCCCATATATCTAAATTAGCAAGCAGACTTAGTTCTGCAGCGTATGCTGTAAGATAGATTAGAAGTCTCACAGATGTTGAGAAAGCTAGATTAGTGTATTTTAGTTACTTTCATAGCGTATTGTCTTAAGGAATTTTGCTATGGGGTAATGCGACTGATATTGAAGCTATATTTGTTTTGCAAAAGAGAGCCATTCGGGCGATTTATAACCTAAATTGTAGAGTCCCTCAGACAAAAATTTAAAGAAATAAACATATTAACTTTGGCATCGCAATATATTTATGAAAATGTAATGTATGTATATAAAAACATAAATATCTTTAATAAGGATGTGCATACTTTAAACAGTAGGAACAAACATAAGCTTGTAATACCAGTTACTAGACTCCACAGTATCAGTAATTCATTTATGGGGCAATGTATACACTTTTACAACAAAATTCCAGAACATATTCAAAGTTTGTCAATAAACAAGTTTAAAAGTTTTATTAAAGAAAAACTGTACAAAAAGGGTTATTATAATATCAAGGAATACATGAATGAAAATAACCCCTGGGAATAAGGTGATCGCCACCATGTTGGTTCTATGAAAAATCATTTAAAATGTATAAACGAAATTATTGTTGTGATGTTTGAAAAAAAAGTACCGCTGGGTTTCTTGCTGGTTCCTCCCAGGACAGAGGTATTTTCCGAACCAGTGGTAAATAAAAATCACTTTCAATAAGAATTATGTAATAATCAATATTGAATAAAACATTATTCTATTCTATAATAGGTGAGTGTAGAGAACTGGAGACATTCTTTACTGGATACTAGGTTTTTTTTTTAAAATAGAATAGGGTGACAAACGAGCACACAGTCCACCTGATGGTAAGTGGTTGCTGTGACCCATAGACATATACATTTATCTTCGTTTGCGAATCAAAATGCAAATGCGTTGTCACCCGTGAGGGCTAAGATGGAATGCCTCTTTTCCAGTAAAAAAGGTCTCCGGTTCTCTACACTCGCCATACGAAACACAGCAGTGTTAAGCTGCTATTTGACGCTGGTATTCTGTGAGAGCGTGGTCCTTCCCCGGTCGAGCCGACCCATTCGTGCTACAACTATACTACTAATACAGCTGCAGCATGGCTCTACCACGTTTTCCACCTTGCTACTCAGGATAGGGGTGACAACGCAGGAATTTTGATCTTAAATATAGTATAGATGTAAATGTCTATGGATCACAGCATTCACTTACCACCAGATCGAGTACAAATTAATGTAAATAAAGAAGGAAGGTGATTAAAACAACAAGTTATAAATATTTCCTAATTTATTTCTTAATCCCACTGACAAATATAAGAAATGCATTAATATTACTGTATTTAGATAAAATAGATAGCTCATTTGTGTTTAAAAATAACATTTGGTTTGTGTCCTCCAATGTTTGTTTTTAGTGCATTATAAATGGAGTCTTTCTGTGCTACCATTTAAATTGATTGTAAGAACTGTTAGTTTGTTAGATCTTTTTTAAAACAAATGAGTTGGAATCTATCGATAACATCAAACTCTCTCGCACATTACATTCACTCACAGATCTTTCATGGAAAGTTTCACATCACAACGTTGTTCCCTACAACTCATCCTTCTTGGCATTGCCCTTTCTGTCCCAGCCTTTGAGCTCGCTGCTTGCGTGCTCTGATACGTATTTGATGAAATCATCTAATGCGCGCCCACCCTGGAATAATTAAAGAGGAAATATTATATGCACTATCAGGTAACTTATTGTAACAGATAATGAGCCCAAAACGTGTTGTACTTTGTGTCAAACATTTGTTGACTAAAGATATATAATAATAATAGTAATTTATTGCTTTAAAATAAGTAGTAAGTTGTTACAATATTGTTGGGTACCTTCTTTTAAGTAAACAGATACCTGTAGTAGAGGGCCCAGACTAAAGATATATCTTGATCATTTTTAAAAAGGGAGGCAGGTCAAGGTCTTATAGAATCACATTTTAAATTTACCTTTACATATCTTAATGTTAAGACTTATATCAAAAACATTTATTTGTATCAAAATTGCTGTTTTATTTTAAGAAATATAAGTCTTAACTTTAAGATAAGTAAATGTAAAATTAAAATGTGATTCAATAAAACATTTAAGTAACATATTAAGCTTAGTTTTTTAATTTATTACCACCAGCATCAACTAATTCAACAAATTTGCCCTAATTCAACAAGCTGGACAGGCAGATTAGTCAATACAGTTATATCAGAGGCCCATATACTTCTTTCTCTCCTAAAAAAAAAATGTATCCTTAATGACCATTTTATGCAAGCATGGTTCTTCACCTATTCACCATCAACCTATTTATTACTGCAGACATAACGCTGCAGCATGCCTTTACTTTACTATATGTAAAGGTGAGGTCGAATAGGTACGAAAACCTAACACAGCTTTTATACGATGGAGAAATTAACACTTGGCATTAATTATGTTTGGCATATTTTTGTCCAAAAAGGTAAAAAAATTAAGTTTAAAAAAAGAGTTCATACATTGTATCTGACAGGCTTCTTGTTAGTGTCCTTAGGCTTCCAGAAAATTGTCGGGAAACCAGATACGTCATAGAGCGACTTAGGCCAGTCGTTGGCTGTGGCGTCGATCTTGATTATGTCGACATCCTCATTCTTGAGCTGTAGGAAAAATGAGAAAAATTGTTTAAATGCTTACGAAATAAATTATCTATGCACTGTCGCAATATGCATACACATATAAAATTTATCTTTATTATCTTTTAGGCTTTATTTATAAGATTAAAAAGCAACATGTTAATGAGAATCTTTTTATCATACCTTTTCACCAAGTTCATCCCACACAGGAGCTAACTTCTGGCAATGTCCACACCAGGGGGCATAGAATTCAACTAATGCATCCTTTCCACTGTCAGTCACTAGCTCTTTAAAGTTTTTGCCAACAGCTACTTTCACTGGTCCATCATTGTTTTCAGGCACTGCCTCAGATTTGATGAAAGGTTCCAATTTGCCGTCCAAAAGGTCCTTGGTGAAGGCGAGTAGGTTTTCAATGCTGTAAGGGTTAATGTCTTAAAGTGAATATGCATAATCAATTTCAGGAGAGAGGGTGCCCACTTGAGAACTTTCTAAAATGGTGTACGGTTCTTTGAGCTATATGGCTAGCCTACTTAGTAATCTGTTACACTCCTTACATTATAATATCTACAATATAAAAATTTATCCATTCTTGACTTCGGCTGTATAGTGTGGTGTCCATTTTATAAAAACCACATGATAGAATTGAAAAGGTCCAAAAAACATTTATTAAGATTTTAAATTACCGCTGCGACTTTTATGGCGAGCCGTATATTAATTCCCTTCATAAACATAAAGTGTTGAGTCTCAGTGATCGCCGTAAATATTTCGATATCATTTTCTTGTAAAAAATTCTAAATAATAAAATTGACTGCTCTCCCTTATTAGCCAAAATAAACATTAAAAGTAATTTTCGTCTGCCCGCTCGCCCTCAACGTGTATTTCAAACATTCATACCACCCACACTTTGAAAAAAATATACACAAAACTGCTTTATCTCCCGTTCGTGAAAATTATACAACAAAGAATTTGTAAATATCGATCTCTTTAGTTGCTCCTTAAAAAGTCTTAAACGAAGTATCTTTAAAGTTATTCAGTTAAATACTTAATAGCGTAACATTCGGTAATCTCTACGATGTATTAATTGTTGTCCCTTAAAAATGTATGTTTTTCAACTTTAATTAAGTTACCTATTTTAAGCTTTACTGTACTGTTATTGTTACATAAAGATAAATTTACTACTCAGCTTCAACTAACATAGGTAAATCTTTCAACAAGCTAAATTGAAATGTTATTCTAATGTATTTTTTCGGCACTCGTTGTCTGTTAATTATGTAATGTTATAATATTGTACTTTCTTTATAATGACTGTTTGTGTCACAATAAATGAAAAAAAAAAGTAAAACTATAGATATTTTACCTGAATTCAGTGCTCATGACATATTTATTGCCATCACTGTCTCGGCCTGCGACTACGGGCTTGTCGCCTTTGACGAAGTCCATGCCGTACTCGTTCAGCTCATGTGTGAAATCATCCTTGTCGCTGATCGCGAAGTTGGCTTCGGTCATCTCCTTTGCTACCTGTTGATCACATAATGGCGTTCATTATTACTTGAGGAATGTCTTTTAGAATTCGGTCACCCAATACCGTGACATTGAAATCTAAATAATTTGTGAGAACTTCTCCAAAAATCAAACTATGAATCCTCTTAGGATACAGTACCCAACATCGAATATAACACTACAATATCTAGATGCAAAGAAGTACATACTGTCAAGTAGTGAATACTGTATTAATAGTCAGATAGTCACAAAACACATAGGAAATAAATTCCATCAATCAACTGTATGATGTTTTCTGTCAAATCCCTGATAAAAATGATGTTATTTATATAGAAAGTTAATCTTACCTTCAAAACACGGTTCCTCCAGTAATTGGTTCCCTTGGGGTTTTTAACATAATCAACATCATAGTAGACCACAACAAGAGGGTTGGTGAAGTCCTGCATATTTTCCTTTTGACGCACACCAACTAAACCGTGGCTGTAAGGTTTAAATAGAGTTATCATAATATTCTTCATAACTATATTTAATATCTATAATCAAATATTAGTTGGTAATGAAAAATAAAATTTGATAAAAATTAATGAAGTACTTTTTAAAATGTATCACAAACATGAAAAGAAACTAGATTGCCTATTTGAAAATATAGTTTATACTCACTAGTTCTCCTTAATGAAAGCCTTGAGAGAGTATGTGTCGGTGTCACCTTTGTATACAACAGAAGATTCTTCAAACTTGTTCTGTAAGCGTTTGGGACGGTATAGGACCACATTGTCCCTGCAGACAATAGAAATATGATTATTCATTTCATACCACACACATGGATCAATGTTTTTAACATATTTCAAAGTACAATCCTCTTATAAAAAGACGAAAATTCCAGCAACCCACTTGTCTTCTGCTATTTTAATTATTTTTCAACCAACTTCAAAAAAGAGAGGAGGTCTACACTACAATTCGTCGAAATCTTTTGTTTTATGACGCCTGAACCGATTTGGAAAATCTTTTTTTTTTTTCAAAGGGGTCTACCCAGGTGGTCCCTTTTAAATTTTATCGAAATCGGTCGAGCGGTTTTTAAAAAATCAACAATAAATTATATTTATTTTGAAGTATGTACGTTGTACAAAATTTTTAATTTTACCACTTGTCCTTTATTTGTTAAAAAAGTCTTAACAAAAAAGAATAAGCACAGTTAATTTAAAGCTATAAGTCTAAAAAAAATAAAGTCTCTATAAGTGTTTTATAATGGAATAAGGTAGTTAGGATTAGAATTTAATGTTCCAGCAAACCATAAAAAGCAGTGAAATCCATTCTTCAATCTTCTTTATCAGCCTTTTGTTTAACAAATAAAAGATAAAGAATTCTTAAGGCGTGTGCAAACAGGAATGTAAATTCATGTTATGGTTTTCAACTTTATCATCTTTGAAGCTAGTCCGTAAGCTTGATTATGATACTCCGCCTATTTATCTATATTATTGGAAATGTCACCCAAAACTTGCTTGAAAGTGGTAAAATCACAGGTATATCATAGGTTCGTATGATATACCTGTGACTACCTGGTAATCGCATAGGTTTAGACCTAGGTCTAAACCTATGCTTCTAGAAGCCAAGACTTACCAAAAAGAGACCAGACTTAGGTCTGCAGATCTTAATACTGCTATTCTTTGTTATTACTTTGTTCTGTACTCAGAATAATTTAAAATTAAAAAATTTGTACAACCGACTTCAATATAAATTATTAAGAATAACTCAAAAACTATTGGTCTGCCCTTGATCAAATTTATATGGGACCACATGTGAAGTTCAAATAAAAAAGAACAAAAAAAACATCAGTCGAAATGAGTACCTCCTCCTGTTTGAAGTCGATAGAAAAAAAAAGTGAGTAAAATATAGATATTTATAGTACTATGAAGTAGTAATACCCAATACCTAATCGAAAACTTAATTTTTTTTTGTATAATTAGGTACGTCTCCATTAACTGATAACTTTTTACTGTGTCAACCGATTTCGATGATTCTTTTTTTTTGAAAGCTAGTGCTTCTCATGTGGTCCATATAGATCTGACCAGTAGCTTTTGAGTTATTCCTAATAATTTACATTGAAGTCAGTTGTACAAAATGTTTTATTTTAAATTATTATTATTCGTTCAGCCGCATCGGACAGAAAAGAAACATATTTAGATTGGAATTGGAAAGAACTCAATATCAAATAATCATCAATTATTTCACATAATATTGGTACAAGACACGAGCTATGAAGATTTGTAATAAGGAATATCGAAACAAAAATCTTATCAAAATTGCACACAAACAATATACCTAATCCTGTCACTGATAATTAGACAAAATAGTATATTTTTCTAAAATATTCATTATCATTAAATTCTAGTTCATGAGTATTTATTGTATTTAAATTTATGCCTAACACTAACGAAATGGAGATATCAGACATTTTGCTGGAATTTTATATCCACAATTAGTTTTAATTATTATCACCTGAAAGCTTGACGGAAGGTACTTTGTAATAAACATCAACTTATAACTTGATAAGTATTCAAGTTTGATGATAGTGAAACTAGTTTGTTTCTTAGTTAAATAAACTCAAACAAAAAAGAATATTGTTGGCTAATATATGTTCGAGATGAAAAGAAAAACTAGGAATTTTGAATTCATCTTCATCATCATCATCCAGAAAAAAGTTATGAGGTAACACACATAAAAAAATACAGTCAAATTGAGTACCTCCTCCTTTTTGAAGTCTGTAGAAAATAATCGGTTACTGATTGTCTTAGTCGGAAAAGGTGTAACGTTTCACGTTATTGTGACATCAAGTAAATTCAATATACCACGTCTTAATAAGTTTCACTCAAAAAATTACGCTCAGGCGGAGGTGGGCGGGTTTTGATACGTAGCACCCCCTTTTGCGGGGGGTCCATAGCAATTGCTACTCTTGCTACGTGGTTAATCCGGCACAGTTTATGGACCAAGTGATCAATCAGCACATTATTTATAATGTCAGGCAAATTATTTACATTTCATTATTTATCACATTGTCTGGTCATTATGAATATTGCTACTTCAATCATAAGTACCAGATCGAAGTTGATGAAAAACTTTATTTACATTGTGTTTAATTGTTAAATATGTTAAATTAAAAAAAACTAACCTAACTTATTTTTTAATACTCTGCCCAATAAGTAACGGACATTATTCATAATGCACGGTCAATTTAACTATTTCTATAGTTTTTGTCACATTGCCTATTCATATTGGGTATTCATATTGCCTGGGCATTATGAATAATGCCCTATTAATTACTTGGTCCATAACATATACATCTTGAAGGATGTGTCCACATTCAATACACAAATTTGAAATGTTATTAAAAATTAAATGTGCATAAAATTGCATAATTGTGTTATTGCTATGCCATTTAAAGTAAATGAGGCATATCCATCTAATTGATGTAACTGAGATTTTTGTAAGCAGAATAATAATTATGACATTATATCGATAAATTAATCGTCTGCATGGTATGAACTATAGTACGAGTAAATCTCTCCTTACAGACACTACTAAAACTGTTAATTACAATTTAAGTAATCTATATCTATACAAATAAATAAAAATGAAGTGTCGGTTTGGAATGTTAAAATAACAGCTTTTTACTAAATGAATATGAAAGTATATAAGGTAATAACAAATTTTTATTTAATTTTTGTCTGTCTGTTTGTTCCGGCTAATCTCCAAAACGACTGGACCGATTTTGACGGTACTTTCACTTTTATTTTAGAAAAAGAATTAGGGTTCCACACAAAAACTTAAATCCATGAAATCGTAGTAAACTCCATGCGAGCATAGTTGCAGGGTACAGCTAGTTGTACAATAAATTTAAGTACTGATTTATCAATATGCTTAGCAGTTAGGATAAACAACATAAGGAAACTTGCATATCTTAAAAAATAAAATTTATACTTTCAGGACATGTTATGAAGTCCACTAACACAGCATTGGAGAGTTGAAGCATATTCTTGCCTGTTAAAAAAACATACGGTGTTTCAATTTAAACCAATGTCTGTTTTAACCTGATTACAGTAACAAGGATTATGAAGTTACAAATTCACTAATTTATTTGTGATTCAATCAAAAATATATGGTATACATTGAATAGAATCAATAGAAATGTATATCTAAGGTTCAATAAGGAAACATATGTGGACACTTTATAATATATTGAATTGTTAAGGATCTAACTTAGAAATATTTTTATTGGGAGTTTGCTCCCAAACAAGACCAAATAAAAGTAAGTCCACTGCTAGATATTAGCTCTTCCGAAGTTGGGGATTTGCATGGCTGATGAGTTAGCAATCATGGTACTAGACACTGCATGAATTAAGGACAATCAACGTCAACCATCTGAATTTTTTGTGTTATAAATTTTGAGATTATTCCTTCACTATGGTTACCAGAGTATTATGTTCATAGAATTTCTCCCATAATGTTTTTTACTCTTGGACACATTTGTAGTAAGTAGAGGAGGAGGATTTAGGAGGAAAATTTCATTTTTGCTCACAAATATGGCAAGAAATAGGCAACAAGATAATTCGTAGTTGGCATCCCAGGTGGAATGTAAACTATGGGTTATCTAATAATTAGAAATAAACATGTCAAATAATAAATATTTAAAAAAAAAACAGTAAATTTGAAGTGAGACTCTTTGCGCCACTTACCAGAAAGGACAGAACAACAACTCCTGTGCTAGCTAGTTTTTAATATGGTATTAAAACAAACAATCAACCTCTCACTCTAAACGCATACACCTTCTCCATTCCGTCGCAGGTAATAAATGTTTTACTTACTTGAAACCTGTTTTTTCTAGCACTTCCTTAGCAGAAGAGTGGCCAAAGGTAACTTCTTCACGCATTTTGTCAGCTGTCTTGAGGAATTCTCCTTTGAGATCTGTCTCCTTTTCAAAGAAACCAACAACAACAACATCATCCTTGGAGATAAATGCTTCATATTCAGCTACCGTCAACAGGTCCTTAGAGCTGGGTCCCACTTGTGCACGCATGTACTTGATAATGCCATCTATAAATATGATACTTTTGATAATATTTTTAATTTTTATTGGTCAAGTTATCTATTTTGGAAGTTCCTCATACTAATTAAAAATATTGGTAAATAAAATAGATTGCAATGTTTCAATAAAACATAGTAGCTCAATAATTTTTATGTACATTTGAATATTCATATAAACCATCTATGAAAAATATTAAATTATACGTAGAATTGGTTATTAACAGCATGAAAGTATGTTTTATATGAAGATATGGAAGATATATAACTACTAATTATATCCAGGGTACATACTTGACTCTCTAGGCCCATTGTATTCTTGGGATAGTTCGCCTTTTCTGAAGATTTTGAGAGTAGGGTAGCCGGACACGGAGAACTTTTCACAAGTACTCTTTCCTCCTTCTGTACAATCTACTTTAGCGAGCGTCACTGGGGTATCGTCGTTTTTCAGCACGCCGGCGGCTTGTGCATATTCCGGTTTAAGTCTCTTACAATGACCACACCTATTATAAAAATTAGACACCATTACCGACTACGTTTAGGCATTTTAAAAATAAGGATTAGAATAGCTCTAACTGCTAAAAACTTACCAGGGTGCATAAAACATGACAAGTGCGGTATCATATTGGGAAATCACCGAAGAAAAATCTGAATCTGTAAGTTCTAAGACATCTTCTTCAGCGGCTTTACATAAATAAATTATACCTAATAATAAAACAAGTTTTATTGAGCCTAACATTTTAATGAATACCCTATTCTAAGTCGGAAACCGTGCGATAATTCTCGCCGACGAAGTGAAGCTGAGCGAAAGGACAAGGACCGGAAAAATACACGTATGATGCCGAACATGACATTAGCCGGCAAAGCGTTGGCCGTTTTTGATTGGTTCATTTTAGATGCGTTCACAAGATGACATCTTATATTTTTGTAATGCAATCGGTAAAATTATATTTTTAAAATAATTATCTACATTTAAAGAGGTTGAAGCTTTGCATATTTTTACTTTAACTAAAACGATTAAATATAGTGTTTTGATAATATAATTTAAAAGTAAATTAATCGTTTTTAAATCGGTATTTACGAATGTCAAGCAATGGGTATCACTATTCATTAAAAACTTTGGCTTGGCAGTTGGCTTCGCTGTCAAACGGAAAATGGCAGCGACGAGTGTTGTCGTTCTCGACAGAGGCAATAATACAACTTGTACCGTAAATCTTTTCGGTAAGTAAGCTTTTTAACAGTCGAAATACTAAGTACAGAAAAATTCTCTTTGTTTTTCATTTTGAAACTAAATTTTTGAGGGGTACTTCAAGCTGCCGCATAACCTGTGTAACTTTTTATTAGTATTTATGTTTCAAGTTATGCGCGAACTTTCAAAATGTTTCGTTTCAGGTTCTCATAAAATTTTATATTACAAGTAATATTTCTTAGATACAATAATTACAATAAATCGTTACGTGGTTAATAATGGTGTCCCATTTTGTGTCTATTAACGAACAGTAACGAGTTTTTTTTTTCTTACTGAATAGAATAAGTTGTCTGCGGCTATATGACCTTGGCTATTGGATTGTAGGAAGTAAATTGTAGATACTTGCTTCTAAATTGTAAGTTGGTATTTGATGTACTAACAAAAAATATTCATAAGTTGTCTAGTAACTTCATCTAATATAAATATAATTACTAAATATCTAATGTATTCCAATGGCAAAGACCATTCACATAGTGTTAAAAATAATTAAACATTGGTATTGCTAAAGCAATATTATTTATAATTTTGTATTTTTTTTTATTTCTCATATCATGCAATTAAATATACTCAGCTAGCATCATTTGCAATCTAAGTTTGCACTACACTGTGGGGACTAGGACTGTTTAATAATTGTAGTTTTTATTTTATGTTCTTGTAATAAATATTGAACTTAATATTGTAAAAGTTTAAATTTATTTTAAAGTTTGTTTATTAATTAAAGGAATTATTTTAGGTGCTACTGTGGTATCATGGCGTGTTAACAATCAGGAGCAGTTATTTGTAAGGTAAGAAATTAATACATTCCATACTGTTGATAGAAGATTTAATGTCTGTGGACTTTGAAGTCCTGCAAATCTACTTTAGAATCCAACTATTTGTAGTTTTTATTAATATCGAAATTTTTATTATTACCGCACTTTCTTACAACTATATATTTCATAATTTGTATATTGATAATCATAGAAATAACTAAAGTTTAATTTATTACTTAACATTAAATTTTTCACGATGATTTTGACTTGAGCTTCATTGTTGAGGTGGTCAGTCTGCCTTCAATCCAAATGACACATTGAGAAATGTTAAAAAATAAAGTCTGATCAGTGTCAGTCTAACTAGACTGTTGGACTGAACTGTGACTTTGACCATGCAGGGGTCTTAGGGCACCCATTCAAAGGTTCAAAGTACTTTTATAAAGTCAAAAATATATAAATAAAATTAATTGATTGTATAAAAACATATTTTAGTTAATCACTACTTGTGTGTTGGTGGTTTGTTCGTCTTGCATGCAGCAACAGAACAACAAATATGACATGATTTTTTGCATAGAGATAGTTTATGAGCTCATGGTGTCATAGCCTACTTTTTTATTACACAAAAATGCATTGTTCCTGTAGGATAGATCTAATTATTATTAAATAATTCTGTAATACTTCTTCATTCAAAAATGTGACAGAAGTTGCAGGTGAGCTTAGGAGTGAACATGGTATATGATTTTTCGAAATAATCATCTTTTCTTCACACGGCTAAAACCCCCTGTAAAAGCTAATATATTTACAAAAATGTATATTTATTTGATTATTGGCAAAAAACATAAGTTAGTTTCACCAACCAACTAATTCTTTATTAGTTCTATGAATGTTCTGTCACTTTTTACTACATTTCATTGAAATCTGTAAAAAAAAAACAATTATTTAACAAAAATTATCTACAAATCTAAAAATTTTAGAAATATTCTTCTATGTGAAAGTCTACTGCTGAACATGGATTGACAAACGCAGTATCATACGCTTCGTCTGGTAGTCGTAAACGCGGTTCGAGATCGTGAAGTCCTAGGTTGAAATCCCGGGTCGGGCCAAAAGCAGTTATTGGGTAAAGAAGTTCTCATTAGCAGCACGGAGTCAGGAAGTTGGCGGTGTTTCACCCCCGTGCCTCGGAAAGCACCCAGGTCCTGCGCCTGAAGTCTTTCCAGTCGTGTCGGGTTACCGTACCATCGGACTATGAGAGTGAGGGAATAGAGAGTGCAATTGGTGCTTGCGCATACACTCGAGCACTATATTATTGTCCTGCGCGCAGGTGACTAGTTTCCTTTGAAACTGGCCGCCGTGACAGAAACTCGTGTCTGGAGAATATTATTGTTGTACGCTTGGTACCTTTGACGGTGATCTCCATCTCTGATAAGTTACTGGTGGTTATATAATAAATTTAACTTTATGGTTATATCAATCATAAACATAACTGGCTTTTTTTTAAAAACAACTTAAGTAAACAATCTTTATAAAAGTATGTCATTCTATATTTTTCGCCATTTATATTAAATGTTGACTAGAATAAGTTATTTAACCAGGAGCGCGTCATAATCCGTCAGCCCATTTCGTCCCCTAGGCTAAGAAAGGACGTTGAGAAATGCTTGAAAGATCTCTTGGCTTTCGTTAGCTGGCGTTAAAAATCATCTCTTTACGCGACACGTGAAGTACCGAGACTGGTGACGGAAAAGGTGTGAGACGTCTGTAATATATATAAGAGCGATCGCCAATCCGTTGAGTGTGGTGGGAAATTCTTCCCTACAACGAGAGAGCCCCAATATCCAGTAGCGGGCTTTAACAGCCTGATAAGAAGAATAATTGAATTGAGAATTGGTAATTCTGTACGTAGTATGTGATACGCGCAAATGGATCACTCGCCGTAACCTCCCCGTGTTTAAGGTCGGAATTACACTTGGATATAATATCAGAGACACGAAGACAATTCAGTCATTAATTACTCTGACCGCTAAGTAACACGATATAATACTTTACAGGAGCAATTAATTATATTTAAAAATAACAAAAAATCTGGCAGGAATATTAGGTACTGTAGAAATTTTTTTTATGATTTATTGATGTATGTACGGTATGCTACTACAAAATATGATAGGTAATGGTATATACTGATCGGCACGTCGAAGAGGCTCTAGCACAGTATAAAAAATATGGCTCTAGTAAAAAAAAGTCGCACCTTATAATGAAGCGTTAGCGCGTCCTTATCAGGGGATACGTTTTGATATTCTGCCTTGTCAAGATGGTTCATATATAAAATAACCTACCCCGAATTTATTTATTTATTTATTTAACAATTTATGTACACACAAAATAATGTTACAAGGAAGAGAAATAAAAGATATTTTGTACAAAGGCACTGCTTATTTCATATTGAAATTTCTTCCAGCAGGCCTGATACTGGACAAATTAAAAGAGAAGCTGATCTAGTGTGCACTCTAATAATAAAATTTTATAATATTAATATACTTAACATAAAGTAAAGATAATAAAAACAAATATCCATGTAAACATACATATAACTAAATACCACTTATAATACATATACACACATACATATACATATATATATATATATATATATATATATATATATATATATTACATATATAAATATAATAATATATTATATATATAATCAATGGGATGACAAAGAAAGATAGTGCTCTTTGCATCGCCTTTTGAACACGGACACTGATTGAGCCTCTCGAATTGCAGCAGGAAGAGAATTCCATAACCTAACTGCATGTACTGTAAAAGAGTGAGAATAGGACTTAGTTTTAGAGGAAGGGAAATTGAGGAGGGTTTTTAATTACCGATTTAGTTATTTTTTTATTTACCGATTACCCTTTTACAGCGGTCGCATATAAATTTCAACGAGGTCCGATGATAATTGAAATTGGTTTACATATTTTAATGGTTCTATTATTGTTGCTATCATAATATGCTAACGGAAAAGGACGTTTGCGACGAATGATACGCTGTAGGCTGTAGCCTATAGAGTAGAAGTAGTTTTTCCATTCTATTTATGACAATCAACGTTATTGTAGAGACTCCGTTCTCTACAATAACATTCATGACAATCAACGGAGTCACGGATTAAGATGGACTCATACTTCTACTTAATTACTTCTCACTCCTGAAGGTTTCATCACGTTATTTCTTTCACCGCTGCACGTAAAACTGAACACTAAAAAACCCTAACCATACCAAACTACTTGTGGTGATTGATTTTAATCGTGGTATTTAAATATTCAAACGTGGTAGAGCCTTGCTGTAGCTATATTAATTGTATAGTTGTAGCACGAATGGGTCGACTCGACCGGGGAAGGACCACGCTGTGACAGAATATCAGCGTAAAATAGCAGTTTAATGCTGCTGTGTTTCGTACGGTGAGTGTAGACAACTGGAGACCCATTTTTACTGGAAACGAGGCATTCCATCTTAGTCCTCACGGGTGACAGTGCATCTGCATTTTGATACCCAAACGAGGATAGATGTAGATGTCTATGGGCCACGGCAATCACTTACCATCAGGTGGACTGTGTGCTCAATTGTTATCCTTGTCCTATAAAGAAAAATCGCTCTTACTCTTTATTTTTAATTTTTATAACTTAAAATAAAAATAACGCCCATAACAACATATTTACTTAAACGACTTCAATTAAGACTTCCTTAGAAGATGGTGCACGGCTACATTACAGTTGAATGTTCCTCAGCATCACTGCGTTGGGCGTAAATAGGTGTCGAGAAGGTTGGCTCTTATAGAGTTTAACACCAAGTTCCTTTTCAATATTTTAAAATTTTCAAGCAAAAGCGCTTTATTCTCATGGAATGCTGTTAAATTGCTACCATTATCATAACAGCCGCAAAAAGTTTACTGCTGAACATAGGCCTCCCCCATAGATTGCCTCATAGGAGGAATTTCGCTATGTTGCCACGCTTGGCCGATGGGTTGGCAACCGCAGTTTTTATTGTTTTTGAGTCTTTATCAGGAAGATGCTGTCATGCTGCTACCCACTTCTCATCAGTTTCCCTCTGTCGCCTTTTACGACACGGGACGATATGGGGTAGTGGATATTCTTACACCGCCACTACACGGTTAAAATTCCAAATTAATCTGAAATTAAGTTGTTCAATTGTTAAGTACAGAGAATATTAATTACAACAATCAGCTTATTCGTAACTGTGAAATAAAAAAAAAAAGAAACGACCGTGAGGTGTATCCGCGTCGAAACAGACTGGCTTTGGCTAATGAGACGTCGTCGATTAGCGGGGATTTTGAGGCTCCAACTTTACGTACATAACTACGGTTTATGCTCAAGATGCTATTATTATCAACTACTTCGTATAATAATTTGTTTCAATGAAATTTACCTTCGGTTGAAAGAAAAGAGTCGCAGTTCATGTGATACGCTGAGTCTACTTTCAGATGATGTAGCAGTTAGGTACTTAGTATGTACCTTAGAGTACATACCTTTAGTTAATCTAAATTACAAAAACATTTACCTGCCTCGGATTAGGAAACTTGAACGTGTATATTGGAGCATCAAGAATAAATAAACAAGCATTTATGCTTTTTTACGTGGTAGAGCCATGCTGCAGCTATATTAGTAGTATAGTTGTAGCACGAATGGGTCGGCTCGACCGGGGAAGGACCACGCTCTCACAGAATACCAGCGTCAAATAGCCGCTTGCTGCTGTGTTTCGTATGGTGAGTGTAGAGAACCGGAGACCCTTTTTACTGGAAAAGAGGCATTCTATCTTAGTCCTCACGGGTGACAACGCATCTGCATTTTGATTCGCAAACGAGGATAAATTTAGATGTCTATGGGCCACAGCAACTACTTACCATCAGGTGGACTGTGTGCTCGTTTGTCACCCTATCCTATGAAAAAAAAAAGCGTAGACCAACCGTAAATCAACCAAACCGTAAATCAGTTTCATTTAGGTACTTTATGTTCACTCAT